GTGGTCGTTGTCATGTAGCCAGCGGCCCAGAAGGAGTCGTTCTGGATGGCAGAGGCGTTGGTGCTGACGTTGTACACCAGGTCGGGGAGGCCGACGGTGACGGTGAGGGGGCTGGCCTTGACCTGGGGCAGGAAGAGAGGAGGGAAGGAAGGGAGGGAGGAAGGAACGGGGAGGGAGATGCAGGGGGTTCAGGCAAGGAAACAGAGGGCTGTTGGAGGAGGAAAGCGAGAGGAGGAAAGCAAGGCCCTCCTGAGCGTCAGTGTAGGAACCTGGCTGGGAGGGGTTGGCTGTTGCCAGTGAGGGAGGCCCACCCCCCTGCCCGCACGCACGCCCCTGCCGCCTGCGTCCCACCTGGGCGGTCGTGGCAGCCGGCTGCTGCTGCGGGATGATGGCCCCGCCGCGCAGGTAGGTGGGCGGGGAGCCCAGCGGAGCGTAGAGCGTGCCGTTGAGGGGAGTTGACCTGCGTGTGCACAAAGGTGAGGCGAGCGGGGTGGGTGGGCGTGGGACCTGGACGCGGGCGGCAAGCAGGGCCTGGGTTGGATGTGGTGGGCTGGGCGAGGGGCGCAGCGTTGGTGGTGGTGGGCCACCTGTCAACAACCAGCAGCAGCCACGCAAGCACCGAGCAAAACAGGGGCCCCTGGGAAAGAAGACAGAGCAACAAGGACAAATGACAAGCAGTCCAGAAGAAAGCAGGCGAAAAGAAAGCAGGAGAAAAAAGCAGGCGGGGCGTCACCTGGCGTCCACCGTGGTGTTGTCCCAGACGTCGTACCACAGGCCCTGCGGGAAGTAGCCGGTCACCCACAGCGTGTCCTTCTCCAGCACCGGCGTGACCAGCAGGTCGGCGCCCACCATGAACTGCCTGCGGGGGGACGAGGGCAAAAGCAATGGAGGAGGGTGAGGAGGGAGGGGGGGAGTGTGCGTCGGTGATGCGAGCGCATGGGGTGCTGGGCGTGGGATGTTGGGAGGTATAGGTGACAGGGCCAGGTTCGCGGGCCTCTTGGCTGCTGGGCCACCCCCGCCTCCCCTCCCCGACGCAGGCCGCCTGCCCGGGGCCCCCACCTGCTGATGGGGAAGGTAAGGGGATCGTCTGGGTAGTTCATGAACAGCGGGCGGAAGATGGGGGCCCCGCTCTGGCTGGCGTTCTGGGAGAGGGTGTAGTAGTAGGGCAGGATGGAGTAGCGGAGGGCCAGCAGGCGGCGGCCCACGATGGAGGTGGCGGGACGGGTGTACAGCTCCTGCAGTAAAGATGTGCGGTACCATGAGACACTTGCCGGTACGTGGAGGTGGCCAGCAATGCTGCTCAGTGCAGCAGCAGCAGCGGCATCGCCGCCGGCAGCAGCAGCCAGCGGAGGCCTCGTCCCGCCGACAGCGTGCCTGCGGGTCTGCATCCCTGTCTGCGTTGTTGCGGGCAAAGGGGTAGAACGCGCCGACCTCCATCCAGCGCGCGCACAGCTGCGTGGTCACGTTGCCGCTGAAGCCGCAGATGTCGGCGCCGGCTGCAGCAGCAGCAGGGCAGGCGGGGAGGGAGAGTGGGAGGCAGCACGGGGCAGGGCAGCGTCCCGGCGTGTGCCCCTGCCCGGCCTGCAGCTGCACCTGCCAGCTGCAGCTGCCAGCCACAGCAGCGGCCGGGCAGGCATCGCAGCAGCAGCTCCCCCAGCCTCGGCCCCAACGCAGTCCCAACCAGGCAGCCCCAGGCAGCCCCAACCACCCCCAAAGCGCACCCATGGGGATGCCTGCCAGCCCGGAGGCGATCACCCCCGTGATCGACCACTGCAGGTTGGGCCAGGAGGAGTTGTTGTCGCCCGTCCAGTGCGCGGCATAGGCGCCAGAGCCTGGGTACGTCGACCTGCGTCGGCGGGGATACCAGGCGGAAAGCTGAGGTGGGAGACGCTGAGTGTGTTTGTGATTGCGTGAGGAAGGATGAGGAGGGAGGGTGCGTGGAGAGCATGCATGGTGGTGGCGTGTGCGTGACCAGCGGCGCGTGCGGCGGCCGGGCGCGGGCGAGAGCACTGGTGCCGTGACGAGGGCGGCGCGGCGCACGCCTGCCCGCTGCTCCGCTGCGCTTGCCTGGCCAGCACAAAGGCGCGCTGCCGCTTGATCTTCTCCAGGGCGGCGGCCGTGGCCTGAGCCATGGTCAAGCCGTACAGGTTGTGGGCATCGTACTCGACGGTACCAGACAGGTGCTGGGCCAGGACGCCCACCGCCTGCAGGGCGGGCAAGGGTGGGTGCGGCATGTTTAGGATGCGGCAGCCTGCGGCGCTGACTTGGCGTGGGGTCTAGCCCTGTGCATGATAGCAGCGGCAGCGCGACCAGCGGGCAGCGGTGGCGGGGAGCGCCCGCGCCCGCGCCGGCGGCGGCCGCAGACACGTTTATAGTAACCCCTGCGGGTTCAGGGTAGCGGCGGCAGCTGCGACATGTGGCAGGCCGCCGCGCCCGCGTGCCTTTGTGTTGAGCGGCTCCATCATGAGACCGTTGTTGATTTCGTAGGGAGGCTGCACCAGCGCCGTCTGCTGCGGGCTCAGCCCGCCCGCGTCGGGGGCGTAGCACATGGCCTGGCACACGAACTGGGGCAGGCCCCGCTGGTTCACCAGCGCCTGTTCGTTGGGCATGGCGCAGACGTCTCCGGAGCAGAAGTTGGCGACTGCGGGAAGGGCAGAGGGCAGGGGCAAACAGAGAGGAGGTGAGGGGCAGGGGGCAAGCAGAGCGAGGGAGGCAAGGGGTGGGCGGCTGCCGCCAGCCGCGAGCGGTGCCAGGCAGGGGGGTTACTGCCACATACACCCAACACGGGCGCAGCCCGGCAGCGGCCCCGCGGCCCCGCCTCACTCTCTTGCATGTCTGTCCAGATCCCAGAGTAGTTGAAGGCCTCGCTGAACTTCTGCAGCTGCTCCGTCCAGAAGGTGTTGGCATCCGGGTTCCACCCAAAGTCCGGGAAGTGGACGCCGCCAGGCCAGACCTGCAGCCAGGTAGCGGGGCGGGGAGGAGGTGAGGCGGGTCGCAGGACAGCTGCGGTTGTAAGGTGGGAAGTAGTGGTTCTCAAGTGGGAGGCAGCCCCACACAGGGCCGCCACCGCAGAGAAGAGCGCCGCGGGGCGGCCCCGGTGGAAGCGCTGCAGTTTGTGTGGCGCTGCAGCCGGCGCCGGCGCTGGCATGCCGTGCGCGTGTGCGCTGCGGTGCGCGCTCACCCATCCCACGTAGGGCTGGCAGCTGTCGGAGCTCTTGAGGTACACGTTCTGCTGGAGGCCATCGAGGTAGACGTCATAGGTGGGGTCGATCTTGATGCCGGGGCCGACGATGGGGACCACCTTCTGCCCCTGGGCCGCCAGGTCGGCCGCAAAGCGCTGCAGGGCGTGGGCGTGGGGCAGTTGGGGAGAAGGGGAGGCCGAGCCGAGCAGAGGGGCGGAAGGAGGCGAGGGGGCGCGAGCGGGCTGCAAAGGGTCTGGGCGCGGGCCAAGGTGCTGGTGCATACACGGCATGGCAGCGGCGGCTGAGGCGCAGGCGCAGCCGGCTGCCCAGCTCGCCTGCAGCTCCTGTTGGGGGAAGGTGTTGCAGTCGGTGGTGAACAGGCGGTAGCCGTCCACTGCAGGGTGGCGGGCAGGCAGGCGGGCGACGCCCCGTCGGCAGCGCGCCGACTGCTGCCGCCGCCGGCCGGCACGACTTGCAATGCAAGTCCCAACAGGCAATGGTGCAGAGCCGCCCCATCTCCCCACGCCGCCATTTCTGAGCAGGCGACTCGGAATCACCACACGAGCACAAATACCACACACACACAGCCACAGTGTATACACACACACACACACAGCCACTGTGTCACCACCGGGCACTCACTGTAGTCGATGTCAAGCCAGATCGCCTCCAGCGGGATGCCAGCCGCCGAGTAGTTGGCCACCACGCCCTGCACCTGCGCCAGCGACGAGTAGCCGTACCTGCGGTACCAAGAGTCGTGCCATGTGGTACAGTATGGTGAATGGAGCGTGGATGTGTGGCACACGGGTGGAGCGTGCCCGCGCTGGTGGCGTCAGGCAGCACCAGCAGCAGCCAAACTGGAGCAGCTCCTCACTGCGACACTACACTCTATCCACCCGCATGCCCTGGCGGGCACTCACTTGGACTGGTGGAAGCCAAAGGCCCAGTAAGGCTGCATGGCTGGGCGCCCCACCACCCGCGTCAGCTGCTCCAGCACCTCGAGCGGGCTGGGGCCCATGAATACAAACTGCAGGGGCAGCATGGGGCAGTCATGTGATGTTGTATTATATATGTTGCACCGGTCGATCAAGGGGGAGGGCAATGCATGTGTAGCCTACCACAGCAGGATGCCCACCGCCGGCGAAAATAGGCAAGCACCCTGGCTGAGCGCATATGACCCCCACCACCGCCACCACACCATCCACCCACCACTGTGCCCCCACATCCACAAACCAGCCAGCCCAGCTCACCAGGTCGACCATGCCGCCGATGGCGCGCCACGTCAGCTGCGTCTGGGTGGCAACAATGTCCATGCCGTTGCTGCTGTGAAGCAGCGCGCCCCAGGCGGTACCATCTGCGGGCGCGGCATGCACATTGCTGCTGGATGGGCTACGGGAAGAGCCGAGCGCGCCCCCTCTGAAGCTGGGAAAAAGAGGTGCAGGCCAACCCGACCAGCAGCTGCGAAAGCCAGCTGCAAAAACCAGACCGCCAGCTGCGAAAGCCAGCTGCAAAAACCAGCTGCTGCTGCCTTCTCCAAGGCATGGCTGACACGCCAGTCTCACCCTGCTCCATGACCATCACAAACGGCCAGTGGCTGTACGTGTTTCGCATCGGCACCTGCGGGCTCTGGTCCCGCGCCCAGAGCGTGTAAGGGTATCCGTTGCGCTGCAGCCAGAAGGGCAGAAGGCAGGGCGCGGATGCGCGGCGGCAGTTGGCGGGCGAGGAGCCGGGGGCAGGCGCTTGGTGGGCTAGGCGAATGGCTGCGGCTTGCTGTGGTGCCCCTTGCCACCAGCCGCGCCACAAGAAAAGAAAGAAACAAACCACGAAGCACGCCAGATCACCCACCGTCATGTGGGTGGTCTCTGAGGACCGCTCCCCAGCACCGTACAGGTAAGCGGTTGGGTCCACCTGGGTGGAAAGCTCAATGTACTGCGGCTGCAGGTACAGAAAGAGAGTCCAGGCGGGCACAGAACAACAGTATCTCAGCACATATGCCCCCCCGCCACACACACACACACACACACACAACCCCACCATCACAGCAACAACAGCCTGCCCCTTCCCCACCCTCCCTCTGCTGCGGGCAGGGCCTCGCCTTGAAGACAAACCGCAGCCCCGTGGTGTTGAAGGTCGTCCTGCCCGCCACATTTGTGGCTGGGTCCAGCCGCGCCACAGCAAAGCTGAAGGGCGACTGCTCCACCAGCACTTGGAACAGGGGCGGCCCCAGGTCTGTCAGGTTTCCGCCTGCAGCGCGGTGGCGGCAGCGTTTACGAGAAGAGGCGCGCAGTGCGGTGGCTCTCCTGCCCGCCTGCCTGGCTTCCCCAGCGGTGCAGCCCAGGCGCTAGCGGCAGTCCAGCAGCCCAGGCAGGTGCTGAGCGTGGTCATCCGGCCCATGGCAGCTGCCTGTTGCCAGCAGCAAGCCAGGCGTGCTGCTGCTCCCTGCCCTCACCTCCCAGGAAGGATTTGGGCGAGAAGAAGGAAGACGGCACCCGGTAGCGCGAGTTGTTGGAATCGGTGATCTGGATTCGCACAATGCCTGCACGCCGGCGACAGAAACAGGGCAGGCAGGAGCGGCGGTCAACGGCCACCGGGGTGGCGGACAAAGCTGCCAGCGGCAAGGAACGGCACCCGACGCTGCGGCAGGAAGCAGCAGGGCCAGGGCACCGATGGTGGCAGCAGCAGCAAGGCAGCAGCAGGAGCAGCGGGAGGAGCAGCGCCAGCGCCAGCATTGGCGACGGCAGCCACAGTAGAGCGGTCGAGGCGCACCTGGTGCCACCTGCTCCAGCCCCAGGCTCAGCTCGGGCACATCCTTGCCCAGCTCCACTTCCTGAGTGGCATCCTTGAGCACCAGCGTGGCATTGCCTGCACCGCACAGGTGCCCAGCCGCCGCAGCCTCACCACACACATGAGAACGGGCGCACGCTCTGGCACGGCGAGTGCAGCACACCCAGCTGCATCGCCGCCACAAGTGCGTGCCGGGTCGCCTGCCGCTCACGGCGCACTTGCCGCAGCGTGGCCGCTGTCCGCCGCCTGTCCGCCGCCTGCCCACCTGTCTGCTGGATGGTGCCGGCGCCCGCATCAACCAGGTTGTAGGCGCTGACCGCATTGTTAGGGTAGAAGCAGCGCGGCATGTACACGTCTGGCTGCCAGGCCTCCGTGGGCAGCGGGTCTGGCGCCCAGCAGCAGTCCAGGGAGACGCATGTGGGTCCCGTCACGCCCCGCGACCCTGCACACACAGAAGCAACGTCGCGGCGGCGGAAGAGGTTTGGCGGCGCCGCCCTGCGTCTCCAGCTCCACTGCCCCCCCTGCGGCGCTGGCTTATCCAGGGATCGCTTCCCCTGGCCCTGGTGGGGCCCTGCAAGCTGGTCCGTGACCAGGCTGGGCCGTTAGCAGGTGCATGTCGAACAACATGCCGCTCACCGCAAGACACACGGGGGCCAAAGGCGTTGCACAATTCTGTGTTCTGGGCTCGGCCCGATGCCACCGAGCAGGCCAGCACAGCCACCAGGAGTAGGTTCCCCCACTGCCGCATAGCCCACAACCCTGCTGGCTGGGGTGGCGCCCGTGGCGCGCTCTCCGGGGCTGGATCGGGCAATTGGGCAGATCGGGGAAGCGCTGCCTGGATTGGGGTCGGGGTTCGAACGATAGCTGTAGTGCAGCCTATCCAAGCTGCTCCAGCGCGGTTTGGGGGCTCCCAAGACGATTGTGACTTGCAATGGCTCGTGGGTGGGCGTTGTTCACGGCTGGCAGCGACCCCAGGACATCTGCCAGCAGGGCGCCGCCACCTGCCGCGGCGCTTCCCTCTCCCCGCTGCCGGGCTTGTGGAGACTGCAGCCACAGCTGCCTGGTGAAGGAAGGCGATGGCTGGCGTAAACACGGAGCGTGAAGGCATCCCCTCAGCCGAAGAGTCTGCCTGTCTCCTCAGGGAGGAGAAGGATGGCGGCCCCTCGTGTGACGGCAGAGTCTGGCTGTGCCGTCCGCTGTGGAATGCTATGCTTTGCAGCAGCTTAGTTGCATGAGGAAGAGAGCGAGCGAGCGAGAGAGAGAGAGAGAGGGAGTTCTGAATGAGTTTCTTTGCAGGCTGCTGCTTGCCGGTGATAGTGCACTGCAGCTGTCAAGTGGCTGCTGCCGATGGTGCTGGCCGGCGGCAGCAGCAGCACCGGCGGCAGCCAGCAGCACCGGCGGCAGCCCAGAGCCATGGGAGCAGCTGATGAAAGAGACGGTCTGCGAAGCCAGGCAGGACAGAGGCGTGCCAGCCCTGCAGAAGACGGGAGTGGGAGGGAGCACCCTGGACCCTTGGACACGCCGTGCTGCTGGCTGTGTGAGTGAGAGCAGTGGGCCAATATCCAACTGTTACAAGGCCCAACGCCTGGCACGCCAGCCATCACATCTGGGGCCTTGCATAACCAACCAGGTGCGGCTTGATTGCAACCGCCTCTGGTCCAACCTCCAACCTGCAGGATCAGACCCTCTACTGCGCCGCCGCCGCCTGCACGTGCGGCGCCCCGGCTGCGCCCTCCTCCTCCTGAGCATCAGCCTCGGGCTGCTTGTCTTGCTGCGCTGCCGTCTGCTGCTGCTGCTGCTGCTGCTGCTTGGCCGGCGGCTTGGTGAGTGCGGCGGGCGGGATGGGCACCAGCACCACAGCCCACTGGTTTTTCAACGGCTTCTGCAGCTGCTTCTGGTCCTTGATGGTGCACAGGTCTGCAGGGTGGGGAGGAGGGTGTGTGGCTGCGTGCGCCGGAGTGTCGGCGTGTGTACAGCGGACATGGGTCTGGGCTGGCTGGCGCATGCTCCTGGTCCCCGCATGCACCAGCTCCTGCCAGAGATGCCATCGCCAACAAGCGAGCCTCCTGCACGAAGAGGCCCTGCCCACCAGCGCCGCGCCCACCTGTCAGCTGGCCGATGAGGTAGAGCGCCACATCACGCCCCAGCGCGACCTGCTGGCCCCCCTTGAAGGTCACCACCAGGCGCAGCGGGCTGCCATCCTCCAGAAAGCGCCGCGCCTGCAGCGGGGCAAGGCAATGCGGGGCCTGATGGCGGCAGCCCAGCACGGCGCAAGGGACCAGCCAGCCGGCCAGCAGCCAGCCAGCCGGCCAGCAGCCAGCCAGCCAGCAGCCAGGCCTACTGACAGACAGACGCTCCCGACGGCCACGGCCTCGTGGCGCCAGCACACCACTCAGGTCCCAGACACCGGCCGCCCCACGCACCCCCGCCCTCACCTGCGCCATCTTCACCGCCAGGTCGTGCTCCGCGATCTGGCAGCCGATGCGTACCTCGCGCGCCACCGCCGCCCGCTGCTGCGCCAGCTTGGCCTTGGTGGCCGCCTTCTCCCGCTTCTGCTGCTCGTACAGCACCTGCGGCAGCCGGCATGCCGTGTGGGCGCACGGCAGCGCCGTGGTCAACTTCGATCCAAAGAATGAGACAATTTAAAACATTGTCCATCAAGCAATCGCTCTGAGACCGCTGGCCGGCTGGTGGCCGGCGCAGGGCGAGCTGAGCGCAGCACAAGTACGCCGGCATGCCGCGCTTGCCCTGCCAGGGAGCGCAGCCTCCGCTGGCTCAACCCCGCAAGCCGCAAGCCGCCCCGCGGCCCACCTTGCTCCACTCCACCAGGCGCGCCACTGGGGGCTGCGCCCGGGGGCTGACCATCACCAGGTCCAGCCCTTGGGCCTTGGCCAGGCTGCAGCCACCAGCAGGCAGCAGGCTGCCGTCACCAACCAGTCGCACTCCCTGTGAGCGTGGCTTGGCCATGCCATCACCAACCAGGCGCCCGGCAGCGGGCCGGGCTTGGGGCGGAAGGGCAAGCAAGGCGGCGGGCAGCGGCGGGCTGGCGCAGATGCAAGAGAATGCAGCGACGCAGGCAGCCTGGCCGGCGGCGCTGCGCGGCAAAACCAGCGGGTTGCGGCAGGCAGGGGAGCGCGGCAGGCAGGCGGACTGGGCTGTTCGGCTGTGCAGTGGAAGCTGGTGGGAAGCCAGCCTCACTTGATGGCGGTCCTGATGGGCAGCACCTCTGCTGGCTTGTCCTCCTCGACAGGGAACACGACCCGCACCTGCAGGAGGGGTGAGGGGTGCAGGACGGGGTGGGCCGGCGGGCATGGCATGGTCATATGCACCGCACCATCTAGCATGCCTGCTGCTGGTCGAGAGGCTGCTGCTGCTGCTGCTTGGCTGGCACGCCCCGCTCCAGGGAGGCTGCACGCCCACCCAGCTTCAGCCAAACACATGGCCGCCATCGGCCCACCAGCCCACCTCTTTTGCTTTGATCTGCTCGTTGCGGGCCGGCAGGTTGCGGTCTGGCATGACGTCCTTGCGCCGCGGCCGCCACGCCCTGCCTATCGCAAATCCGCGCAGCTGCAACTGGCGCCAGGCAGGCGCGGCCGCGCCGGGCGAGGCAGCTGGCCATGGGGTGGCGGCGGCAGCAAAGGAGCAGAAACTGCTGCTGCTGCTGCTGCAGGGGCTGTCCCAGCGACTAGCGCTGGCCATCACACCGCTATGTGGCGTGTTGTGGGCCTCCTCGCCCGCCGTCGGCTGCTGCAGCCGCACATCTGCCACCGCCTGCCGCCACGCAAGCAGGCGGCGCTGGCCCTGCTGCCGCGCCGCCCTGACGAGGGCGCCAGCTGACATGGCGCCAATCTAAGGCCTAGCGGGCCGCCGGGAAGTGCCGCTGCTGAACTGACTCCTCCTGAGCGTCGCTGCGCTGTGCCCGCACTCCGTGCCTGCCGCCACAGCCCCCTCAGCCAAAGAAGCCCTTGCGGCTGGCGATGCGCTCCTGGCGGTCTGCCTCGAACTGCAGCAGGCAGAACAGCAGGCAAATGAGAGCTGAGGCGGCGGCGCGCTTCTGCCAGGACGGCAGCCAGCGCAAGCGAGCGCCCGCAACTCTACAGACAGCTTGCCTGGTCCTTCTTGCACTTCTTGTAGGCGTCAAAGGCGTCCTTGCACTTGGCCTTGTCGTACTTGTTCTTGTCCAGGCCTGCAGGGTAGAGAGGGAGCCGATCACGTGGGCGGCGGTAGCGGCAGCAGTGGAACGGCGGCGCCCGACCGACCGCTGCGCCCGGCCATTCCCTGGCGGACTGACGATGCTTGCAGGGGGCCAACAAACATGCTAACAGGTCCAGGGTGCCTGGCGGGGCAAGGGTTCCGCTGGAGCGCTCACACTTGAGGGAGTTGGCGTAAGCCTCGGAGCAAGAGGAGTCACTGATCTTGCGTGTGGTGCCACCTACTTGCTGTGACATGCCCGAGCGCTGCACCGCGCAGCTGCCACAAGAGGGTGAGCAATGGGGTGGCCGGGGGCAGGCTGCGACCTGAAGAGCTCTGGATTTACCATCTCTTGACACCGAGTGGTGATCAGAATCGAGGCCCGCCCCAGCGCTGATGTGTCCGCCGATGTGGCTGTTGCCTCCAAAACGAGGCTCTTCCGGCGATTGTTTCGGCGAGATGCAACTCTTGCACGAATTTGGGATCTCCAATGATCTAACTGGATCGCCGCGGTGTGGTTTATGCACCCGCCCAGCACACCCCACGGCTTGCCTCGGGTGGGACGAGTCTGCAAGCCGCGCGTCGTTAACGAAGAAGTGTTTTAGGTTCATTTGGCACCTTTCGCATCCACCCACGACACGTTCGCAGCCCCGGCCAGCCACTAGCCAGCCCATGGGCACCATCCATCAGGCGCCGGCGCGCTCCGGCGCCGCGCTCCTGCTGCTGCTGGCGCTGCTCTCCAGCGCTGCAGCAAGGGACAGCAGCCGCAAGCTGCTCCAGACGGGCCCTGCGCCGCGTATTGTCGGAGGCAGTGCAGCGCCCGTTGGCCGTTACCCATACATGGTATCCCTTCGCGACGCTAGCGGCTCCCACTATTGCGGCGGCTCGCTCATCGCGCCACGGGTTTTGCTGACAGGTAGGGTGGCTGCCCACCCCTTCGTGCGCCGCTTAACCGCGACGCATGTCGCATGCTTGCCTCCAAATTGTGCGCCAACCGCCGCAATGTGCTGGCCGCACACGCATGCGCCCCTGGTGCAGCTGCCCACTGCGTGGCCGACGCCGTGCACAAGTTCCCTTCGGTCCACATCGGGCGCCAGTACCTGAGCCAGGCGGAGAGCGACTATGATGTACGCCGCACAGTGACCACCGCCATACACGGCAGCTACGACCCAGCCACCTCTGCTAATGACATAGCTCTGCTCCGCCTGGACGCCGCCAGCACCAAGGCGCCGCTGGCGCTGCCCACGTTCGACCTGGTCCCCGCCAACAACACCCCGCTGAGCGTGCTGGGGTTCGGCACCACCTCAGAGGGCGGCATGTACCTGTCGTCTGGTGCGCGGAGTGTGCTGCTATGCCGATGCTGGTGCCTGGCTCCCCAGCAGCTACTCAAACCTCCTCTTTCCTCCCTGCACAGACCTACAGCACGTGACTATCGCCTACTTCGATGCCGCCACGTGCCAGGCCCTGTACCCCTTCGGCCAGATCAAGCCCGGCATGCTGTGCGCTGGCGCGCTGGCTGGGGGCAAGGACAGGTAAAACCGCAGGGCCCACCCGCCAGCAGCAATGCCCACAGCCTCCCTGGAAGCAATGCCTTCTCCAACATGTGCCCCTCTGAACCCCACCCGCCTGCCTGCCTCTTCATCTTCCCCGCGCGCTGCGCCCCGCAGCTGCCAGGGTGACTCTGGCGGCCCGCTGGTGCTCCCCTCCTCCAACTCCGCCTCGGGAGACCTGCAGCTGGGGGTCACCTCCTGGGGCTACGGCTGCGCCCGCCCCGGCCTGCCAGGCGTCTACACCTCCACTGCCCACTACCGCTCCTGGATCAACGGCTACCTGCAGGCCTGGGGCGCTGCCACGCCAGTGGCGTCGCCGCCGCCGCCGCCCAAGCCCGTCGCCTCCCCGCCTCCACCGCCAAAGCCTGTAGCGTCGCCTCCACCTCCCAAGCCCGTCGCTTCCCCGCCGCCGCCCAAGCCTGTGGCATCGCCCCCACCGCCCAAGCCCGTGGCCTCCCCGCCCCCGCCAAAGCCCGTGGCGTCGCCGCCTCCACCGGTGGCTTCTCCTCCGCCACCGCCCAAGCCGGTCGCCTCCCCGCCTCCGCCCGTCACGACATCTCAGCCGGCCGGCAGCAACCCGTGCGCCTGCAGTGAGGATGGCAGGAGTGCCGGCGTGGCCACCGGCCGCCGTGGCTGCCGCCAGCACGGCTTCCCGCAGAACCTCAAGTGGCACTGCATGACAGTGGGGGGCCTGGCCTGCCCCACCGCCCAGCCCTCGGCATCTTACCCGGGAGCCGGGTGGGTGTACTGCGGCCACGACGCCCCGGCTCCCACCACCAGTACCACCACCAGTAGCGGTACCGCCTCGCCCCCAGCTGTCATCCTGGTCGCCGGCCCCGGCCAGATCGCCGGCGGCGGCGGCGCTCGCAGCGAGGAGGCCCAGCAGGCGCAGCTGTGCAAGTGCGCCGCCGACGGACGCAGCGCCGGCGTGGACACCAGGCGCCGCGGCTGCAGGGCCCACGGCTTCCCGCGGGACCGCTCCGTGCACTGCTATGTGGTGGGGGGCACGGCATGCATGGCGCCAGGCGTCCAGCCCTCAGGCTCATTCCCTGGGGCGGCCTTCAAGCCATGCAAGAGCAGCGAGGAGTAGCCAGGCCAAGGCCAGGGCGCCTGCCGTGACCCCCCCCCCCCACGCGTTCAATAATCTGATGCCTTTGCCTTTGCTTCTGATGTAAATCAGCCCGCCTGTAGTCATGCACGCCAAGGGCAGGAGCAGGTTACAGACAGGGACGAGTTGGGGAGGTGATGCAGCTGATTGAATGCGAGGGTTGCGGCAAAGCACACGACTGCAGCAAAGCATGGAAGCTTGAAAAAACAGGAGCTGTGGACAAGGGAAGCACCCGCTCTAGTGTACACAAAAAAGGCTGCCTGGAACAAAAAAGAAGGCCCGGGGCTGGGCTGCAGCATGTGTGCTCGGCAGTCTGCCGCAGCCGGCTTCAGCCATCTGAGCGGCGCTGCTGCTTGATGGGATGCTGCTGCACCACTCACTGGCTGCCCGATGCGCCCTTGGCCGCAAAGCCATATTGCTGCAGGGGCAGGGGACAAGGTTTCTGGGTTAGAGCGAGGAATGCTACAGGCTAGGAGCAGACTAGCCAGCAGGCCGCCTGCTGCGCTGGCACCGGCGTGCGCTGCCAGCATCCCGCGCAGCCGCGCCTGGGCTGCCCGCAACGCTGCGAGCGCCACCCCCGGGCGCCAGCGCACGCCCCGCGCCACCCCAGTCTCCCTCACCTCTGCCCACGGCTGCACCGTCGCCCAGCGCCGCATCTGGTTGAGCTGCACCACCTCGTTGGACGCGTGGCAGGCGAAGAGCAGGTAGTTGCGGGGCTGGATGGCCCAGGCGAAGCGCATGAAGAGCATGGAGTAGAGGCACATCGCCGCCGTCATGTTGCGGCTGATCGTCTCGGGCGGCTTGGTCATCGTGTCGCTCAGGCCCTGCGGCGGGGGTGGGGTGGGGTGGAGGGGCGGAGCGGGGTGGAGGGGTGGGGCGGACGGGTGCCAAGGGAGGGCGCCGAGCATGCGGCGGCGGCATGCGGCAGCGGCACTCACCGCGATCACGAATCCCCTGCAGCAGGGCGGAGGGGGAGGTGGTGTGAGAGCGAGGGGGAGCAGGGGGAGGTGGGGTGAGGGCAGGGGAAGGGGAACGCAAGGCGGCAGCGGGGCAAGCGCATGCAAGGCAGCGGGGCAAGCAAGGAAGGCAAGCAGGGAAGGCTCATCCTGGATCGGCAGCACATTCACCAGTTGGCTATTGGCCCTGCCAGAAGAAGGGATACACAGAAAAGAAAACTGATCAGAGGAAGAGTGTTTGGAACTGGAAGCAGCGGCGGCAGTGCGCGCACCGCCCGGCGGCGGGCAGCGGCAGTGGGCAGACCCCACCCCTCCGCCCCCTTGCTGCTCCAATTGCCATGAAGCTCGCCCTGGCCTGTCATCTTACGCACGACCTGGCCCCAGGCGGCCTGGCAGTGGAAGGCCTTGCAGGCAACCTCACCCCAGAAGTGCGTCGTCTTTGGCCCGGTGGGGCTGTCTATGAAGGCTCTGAGCTTGCTGACGCTCTGCTTGGCGGCCGCCATGCTGCCAGCCTGCCTGCCGAGGGCTCTGACCGATCGGCGCTGGGCGGCCTGCAGCGGTGCTAGCCTTACGCTGGATGCGTGTGGTGCTTTATGAGTAAGCGGCCAAGGAAGGGTGGGGAGGTCCAGCTCGCTGCCAGCGCAGCAGTGGCCCCCATGCAAAACAGCCACGGCGCAGGGCGCCTGTGCACTCCCATTGCAAGTCCTCAATTGAGATGACAACTCTAGTTCAAATCTAGGCTGCGAACAGACGCCGTCTGTGGGCATCATGGTGCTGCACCGAAACAGGAGTGCGGCGCTCCTCAGCCCGCGCGTGCGGCGGGCAGGCAGGACCAGGACACCACAGAGCGTGCTCTGCTGGGCACTCATTCTGCTGGCAGTGGGGCTGGGTACGCGCCGCCGCCGCCGCTTCCCGCCTGCCTCCGCCGCCAGCTGCCGGCCACTCGCATTGCGAGTGGTGAACATGCCGCTGCTGCTGCTGCCGCCATGTTCCCTCCTCTGCAGTGGGCTTCATGCAGCTCAGCCGCTTCGAGGCCCGGATGCATGCGGCGCTGCACCGGCACCGAAAGAGCGACGGCGACAGCAGCAGCAGCAGCGGTGGCGGCGACCAGCAGCAGCCGGGCCTCGTAAACAGTCACGGGCAGGGTCAACAGAGCAGCTCGCAGGCGTGCATCGCCACGCTAGAGGCGGCAGGCATGCTGGCGGACAGCGAGGGCCGGCGGCTGACGGCCGAGCAGCGGCAGCGGCGCCTGCAGGAGCGCAGGCCGCGCATGTGGCGCAGGAAGACGGCGGAGCAGCTGGCAAAGGAGGCGGCGGAGGATGCGGCAGCCACCATCGCAGCAGAGGCGCTGGCCGCGCAGCAGGCGCGGCGAAAGCTGTATGATGGCATGGAGCAGTCGCTCCGCGATAGAGGGCTGGCGCTGGGTGCGCCGCTGTTGCGTGCTTCTGTCTTTTTGCCTGCCGCTGCTTCAGGCACCTGGCCGGGGTGCCGGATGCTGCCTCCTTGCCGCTCAGCAGCCCCTGGGAGCAGCAGCCAGGCGCTGCGCTTGCCTGCGCTCCGCTCACCCTATGCCCACCCCCTCCACACACGCCTGCCCAGCTCGCGCGCCTGCTCACCTGCGCGCCTCCCCTCGCCGCGCCCCTTGATGTGCAGCCACCAGCAACACGCAGGGCATGGCGCTGGGCGACATGTTCAAAATCGAGGGGGGCCGCCTGCGGCCCGTGGTCACCGTGCTGCCCATCCCCGTGCGGGCAATCGTCATGCCGCTGTCCGACATACAGGCGGCGCTGTGAGTGTGCCTGGAGGCCTGCAGGCTGCTGAGCTTCTGCTGACAACCTCTTCCCCTTGTCTTCCCCTTTCCTCCTTAAGCCCGCTCCGCGCTGCTTGCGTACCTTCCCACCTGCCTGCGGCGAGCCCTGCAGCTGCCCGCACCGGCACCGGCGTGCCCCCTCCCTCGCTCACCGCCGCGGCGTGCGCCCTCCCGCTCGCCTGCGCAGGCGGCTGGAGGATGCGGTGCAGCGCCACCTGGACCCGCTCATGCCGCCCAACGGTATCTGGAAGCAGCACCACCGGCTGTACCACTCCACCATCTTCCACGCATCCACGCACATGGTGAGGCGGGACATGCAGGGGCAGCGGCCATGGTACCACTGGTACCGCGGGAAGAGGCCGGCCGCGGCACCGGGCCAGGCGGCGGGCTGCAGGCGCCAGGAGGGCATGCCGGAGCCCATGGCAGGGGTGCTGCCACCTGCCTCCCCGGTGTCCCTGCTGCCGGACACCACCAAGCGCAGCGGCCCTCTTGCCTGTGCCCCACCGGCCTCGCCTGCCGCTGCGTGCCTGGCGCTGCGCTGCGCTGCTCCGCTGTGCAGGACCCGGTGCGTGCGGCGCCGCGGGATGTGGACATGGAGGAGTACTTGATAAAGGACGTGGGGCACAAGGCCTGCCCGCTGCACCTGACCCTAGAGCGCATCGTGGCCACGCCCAGCGGCACCGTGCTGGCGTGCTGGCAGGTGCGAAGCTCCGCTGGGTCGCGGGGGGGGCCGTGCCTGTGCGGCTCCTGCTTGCTGGGGCCCAGGAAGGTGCCACGGAAACGCCCAGGACGCCTGCCCGGCCTGTCCGCTCCGCAGCCTGCCTGTGGCACGCTTCCTTGGGACATCGCCTGCCCGGCCAGCAGGCTGGCGCCGGCCTCCCACTCCTGCTTGCCTGACGCCGTGTGCGTGCTGCCGCTGGCGGCCTGCCGCAGATCATGAACGGCACCGATGTGTTGGACATCCGCAACTGGCTGGAAGAGATCCTGCCGCACCACAGCAAGCAGCAGGTGGTGCAGGACCGCACCATCCTGCACACCACGCTCGCCCGGCTGGTGGCGCCGCCCAAGCTGGACGGCCTCGCGGCGGCGGCCACGGACGGCGGGCAGGGCGGCGGCGGCGCGGCGGCCGACGCGGCAAGGGTGCTGCAGGCGGCGGCGGACCGCATGACCACAGACCTGTGCGGCCTGCGCACAGTCATCGACAAGATGTGGTGGGTGGAAAGAAGAACTGGTTGCGCGTGTGTGTGTGTGAGAGAGAGAGAAAGAGAGAGGGGCCTGATGTTCTTTTCATTGTGCCTGCATGCCGCCTGGGCTGCCCACCGCCGTGCGCTTCCCTACAACCCCGCTCCACTCCTTGTTTGCCCTGCGCTGCGTGCCCCCACCGCCGCAGGTTTGTGGAGGAGTACGAGAAGCTGGCCCTTGCGCTGCGGGGCACCTTCCGGCAGCGGGAGGTACCGATGGAGTGCGAGCCGCTCTACTAGCGGTACCGGCGGCACCGCCAACTGCGGCCTGCCTGACAGCCCGCAACCCCAGCCAGCTCCTTCGCCACGTGTTTTAGGTCCACTTTGCTAGTTCGTTTACCCGCTCGCTCGCTCCTGCTGCACCCTCTGTTCTGCCCGCTGCAGCGGCGGCATGCTGCCCCTGTAGCGCCCCTGCCCGCTGCGGCATCCCTCGTACAGCCCTGAGCGTGCTCGTCCCAGTTCTCCCTCCTGCTCACCTGCTGCTCTCCCCCTCCTTCACCGTCTTGAGAGCCGCCGCGGCATTCAATTTTCAGTGATTTACAACCCATTCATACCTGCACTGCGGGGCGTGGCCCGCCCCCCTCGAGAACTGCTCTTGCAAAACCAGCAATGCCCGGGCGGTGCGAGCTGCGGAGAAAAACAGCGAAGAAAGGGAGGCTGTGCGAGCAGGGTGATGTGGCAGAAGCAGGAATGCAGAAAGAAGAGAAGGGCGGCAGCAGGCCCTCAGCCTTTCTTCTTCGACTTCCTCTTGTGGAACTGGTTGGCGCCGGCCAGCGGGTTGTTGCGCTTCGCCTGGCCTGCAGCGCAGGAGCGGGCGCAACACACGGCGGGCGGTGGCCGGTGAAGCAGCTTGGTGCCGTTGGATTGCTGCGCCTCGCAGTCTCTCGCTGCTGCACCTTCGACTGCTGCACCCAACCTCCCCTTCCTCACCCTTGATGATGCCCTTGGTCGCCGCCAGCCGCTGCTTGCGCAGCTTCTTCAGGAGCTTACTGGGGTTGGTGCTGGTGCCCCTGCGCGGCGGGCAGGCAGGCACAGGCAGGCGGCCCAGACCATCAGCGGCAGCAAGTGAAATGGCAGCAGTGGCAAAGGCACTGGAAAGCTCAATCAGATTGGCAGGCAGACGACACAGGCAGCATAACAGCGGGGGCTCACTCTGCCTGCCCATCAACCGCCATGGCCGCCTCCCCCGCCTGCTGCACACCCTCCATCCCCGCGGGGCCTGCCGCCGCGTCGCCGCCTGCAGCAGTCTCCGAGGGCCGCGGCGCCGCCAGCACTGCCTGCAGCGCCTCCTGCCGCTTGGCCTCTCCCTCTAGCTGGTGCGGCGCCTGCACCACATTCTGCCTGCATGGGTGGACAAGCAGCAGCGGGGGAGTAGTGAGTCGCACGTGCTGCCAGCGGGCACCGCCGCCGCCAGTGCCGGCATGCCGGCATGCCCTCACAGTTGTACAGGGACTTCCGGAGGCCTCCCAGGTCACGAAAGCAGGGGCGAGAGGGGTCGCAAGGCACAGCAGCCGCCAGAAGCAGCATGCATGTGCAGTGGGAAGCGTCCAAATACCCTCCAACTCACCGCTTCAGTGTCCTAAAGCGGCGCTTTGACTTGGAACGCAGCCCCTTGGCCATATTGCGCCGCCGCCGCCTCGGTGACAGTAACTGCCCGCTCAGCGCTGTATACCGTGCAACGAGTTATCGGATTATTCGGAAACGCTCTGGAGTGCGTGTTGTACCGGCAGAGAGCCGCTTAGAACTTCTTTGCGCCCTCCTGCTTTGCGCGGCGTGCCTGCCCTGCCACCCACGAGGGTCAAAGGCCCGCATCAATCCATGCGACTGCTAGATCGACCCATCTTGCATCTCACATTGGCTTGGCATGCGACGCAGGGCTGTCAATTGCTTGCCAACTCCCCGCTACCGCCAAACCCCATTCTTCGTCTGCTGCGGGCATCCCCTGCAAGTCGACAATACGCAGCAACATCGTTGCTGCCCTGCACCGCAGCCCCACCGCTCTCGCGCCTTGCGCCCCCTAGCCAGTTCGCACCACCAGGCTGCAGGCCGGGGCTTTGGAACTGTGGGCATCCGCAGCAGGCGGTAACCGCCGCGCTCCAGGCCCGCTGGTGAGCTCAGCTGCGCTGCCGCCGCCACTCGACACGCTTCAACCGTGCCACAGCCGCCGGGCACTCTGCTTGTTGCTACCAATGGGTGCCGCCCTTTAGCTGCTACTGCCGCCGCTTGCAAGCTGCTGTGGCTGTGCACCGGCTGGCGCCTGGTCCTAGCAGCCTTGACCCCGGCATGCCCCGCCACGCTCACACCATCCTCTCCACTCCCAACGCCTCCCTGCCGCCGGCCAGCCATGGGCTCCCGCTTCTGGCAGCGCTACCGCGGCAGCCCGCTGCTAGCAGACCTGGCTGACAGGGCTGCTTACTTCACCAAGGCAGTGGCCGCCATCTACATAGTGCGGGAGAACCTCATCGAATTCACTGTGGTGAGCCGCACATGCAGGCGCCGGGCTCATCGCGGTAGCCAACTGCGGCGTGCGCTTGTGTCAAGAGCAGCCCAGCGCCGGCAGCCCGTTTCAGAGCAGCGTGCGCCGCTGCCGCGCTGCGGCCGCTGGAGCCCGCTTCGTTGCCTCGCTGGCTGCCCCGGGGCCGCCGTGCACAGACCCGTCCACTACGACCGCTTCCCCTTTGCCTGCCTGCTTGGCCCCCCTTGTCGCACCCTGGCAGTGCGTGGGCCCCAGCATGATGCCCACCTTCAACCCGCGCGGCGACATCGCCCTGCTGGAGCATGTGTCGGTGTGGAGCGGCCGGGTGGCGGTGGGCGACGTTGTGCTGGCCCGCAGCATGCAGAACCCGCGCCACATGGTGTGCAAGCGGGTGCTGGGCCTGGAGGGCGACACAGGTGCGAGGGGGTTGGGGGCAGGGCCAGGGCCAGGGGCTTGGTTGACAGCCTGGTTTGGTGGACAGCCTGCCCAACTGCAAGGGAAGTGCAGTTTGGGTACAGGCGGGCAGGGGAGACGTGCATCGGAGGGGTATTCTGGGGCTGGGAGTTGCCGCTGCGTGGCAAGGCGACGGGAGGTAGACGGAGCATCACTTGCTTTGATGGCTTGTGCCTCTGCTCATCGCCATTTGCGTCTCCCTGCACCGCAGTGTATGTGCCCAGCAGCACAAAGCTGGGCCTGGGGAGGACAGTGATGGTGCCTCGCGGGCATGTGTGGCTGCAGGTGGGCTGCCGCCGCCAGGCCTTGTGCTGGCTGGGCTGCCGGCTGGTGCTGCCGCTGGCGTTGCCGCTTGAAGGGCTCCTGCAGCCCAGCAGCTTCCTCTGCCCTGCAATTGCAGGGAGACAACTTTAACAATTCCACCGATTCGCGGCACTATGGGCCGGTGCCGTATGCGCTGCTGCGGGGCAGGGTCTTCCTCAAGGTGTGGCCAGCTGCTGCCCAACTTTGTGCACCCATAGCGCTCTGCTCGTAACGATTCGAACCGCTTGCATGCACACAACGGAGCACCTGCTTGCGGTCGCAGGTATGGCCCATCTGGGAGGCAGGCTTGGTAGAGAACAAGCTGCCGCCCTGGCAGGAAGAGGAGTTGCAGCGGCAGCGGCGGCACAGGGAGCTAGAGCAGCAGGAGTGGCAGCGGCTAGAGCAGCAGCGGCAGCAACCGCGGCGATAGCCGGGCGAGCGAGGAGAGATGCCGCATTGGGCCACATGTCAAAACTTTGCACTGTTTTTGATTCCTTAGAAATTGTGTTGGACAGCTGCTGTGTGTATAGAATGCTTCCCAACAGACTCGAGCAGGAGATGAGCTAATAGCAATATGACGGGCGGTGGCGGCTGTCGGCACTGCGGCAGCAGGCACAGCAGACAAAGTCGCCTTCAGGCGCGCATGCATGCATGCATACACATCGTCCATAGAGTGAATATATTGGATTGCGTGCCTGTGCCCGCCGCAGCGAACACAGCGGCTTTTCCCATGGCTGCGGGTTTTGCGTGTCGCTCTGCGGTCTTTCGCACCCTGCCCCTCGTGCACCTGCGCGAATTTGGCATTCAGCAGCCAGCACGGCCGCTGCTCTGCCGGCGCACTCCAGCCGCCGGCACTCTCGCCGCCGCCGCCGCGCCAAAGTATGCCGGGCTACCGCCGGAGCAGCAGCAACAGGTCGATGCCTTTGTTGACATCCTGCTGGACTGGAATCAACGCATGAATCTGACTGGTGCGCTGCGGCTGCCAGCGGCATTTTTCATAAAGGCTGGGTGCCGCGCCTTGAACAGTTCCGTGTCGTGACGTCGGCCCCACCTGGCGGCCCTTGCCCCTGCACCCTCGCCTCGTTCGCTGCAGCCATCAAAGACCGGGGCGAGTGTTATGAGCGGCACGTGAACGACAGCCTGGCGCTGCTGCCTGCACTGGACCGCTGCCTGGCGGCCCAGCAGCAGTCGCAGCAGCGGCACCCTCCAACCCACCCGCAGCCGCCGCCGCCGCCGCCGCCGCCGCCGCCGCAGCAGCCGCAGCAGCCCGCGTCGCAGGAGCAGCAGTGGGAGCGCGGCGGCAGCCTTCCCAGCAGCAGCAGCCAACGGCCAGGCACTCCGCAGCCACAAGAAGCTGCAGCAGGGGTGGCGGCGGGGCCCAGGCTGATTGATGTAGGGTCCGGCGCGGGGCTGCCAGGCATCATTCTTGCCATCGCCCGGCCAGACTGGGAGGTCACCTTGCTGGACTCGCTCCAGAAGCGGTGCAGGTTTGCAGAGGCGGCGGTAGAGGCGGCGGGACTGGCCAATGTGCGTGTGCACTGGGGGCGCGCCGAGGAAGCAGGTGTGAGCCGCCGTGCCGCCGCCGCCGCTGCTGCTGTGGCTGCCATGGTCGGCCCCACACCAGTCGCCCTCGCTCGATCTCCGCCATCACAGGTGGTAGGCGCCCTGACTGGACGGAGTGTGCCCCGCCTGCAGGTCAGGACCCTGCGCTGCGACAGCAGCATGACGTCGCCATTGCCCGTGCCGTCGCTGAGCTGCGGGTGCTGGCGGAGCTCTGCCTGCCGCTGGTGCGCCCAGGCGGGCACTGGGTGGCTGCCAAGGGCGCGGCGCCGCAGGACGAGGTGGCGGCGGCGGCTGGGGCGATCGGCAAGATGGGTGGCAAGCTGCTGGGGGTGGAGGAAGTGGACTCAGGTGCGGCTGGGTGCACGGCGGCGAGGAAGGGCAGTGTGCTGGGTGCACGACGGCGGCCATGGAAGGTGGTGGCTAGTCTGTGTGGCGCCCCGTTGGGCTTCCGGTGACAGTCAGCAGATGCACCACAGCAAGCATCCCTGGCTTCCGCCCTCTGCCTTGCACCTGCAGAGAGCCCCGAGGGGCGACGCACAGCGATAGTAGTGCTCAAAGCGCGGCAGACGCCAGCCCAGTACCCGCGGAAGCCGGGAGTGCCGGGCAGGAAGCCGCTCTGACTGACGCAGCCATACTGGCGGCTGTGGCTGCCATGCCCAAGTAACGTTCTGGCATGCCTCTCCCAATGGCCAGTGGTGATGGATGCCAGAGAGAGCGAGCGAGAAAGATACAGATAGAGTGAATTGCTGGGGATAGGGGAGGTCCCGCCGCCCAGCTGGCGGCTTGGATGGCGGCGACCCCTTGTCATCCTCAACCCGTTGCCGGGACGCTGTCTTCGTGTTTAAAGCTACTCCTGCAAGCCTATCCCGCAAGTCAAGCTGAGCTGAGGTTGCGGAGTTTTCACGCGGGTCCAGTTTCACCGCCCCACGCTTCCCCCGCTGCATGCCACCTTCGCCGTCGTAGCCTGCGGGGCTTAGGGCCGAAAGGGTGGGGCTCAAGAATGGTGCTTCTTCGATCGGGACACGGTCTCGGCGGCTTGGGCTACGCCGCCACCCTGCCCTGCCGGCAGCCGTGGGCTGCGCCCCATCTCGCCCTCCAGCGGCCGCAGAGTACACGCACGGCCTGGGTGGGCCGCCCCCTCGTCCGCCGCCTGGGTGTGGCAGTGGCGGCGTCACGGCTTGGGCGCCGTCGCTCGCTGCGCTGCACTGCCCGCCTGACATCCAGCAGAGATAGCTTGGACGAGGAGCAGCTGGAAGGTCTGCTTCCGCAGGGCCATCAGAATGGCAGACCATCAGCAGCAGCAGGCAGCCGCGACACGGCGGCGGCGGCGGCGGCGGCATCACCCTTAGCACCACCGCAGTGTGCGGTGGATGTGCCCGCATGCGGGGAGGCCTGGCAGGCGCGGCAGCTGAGCATCAAGGAGCTGCAGAAGCTGACTGAGTTGCACATAGAAGATGCCTACCGATGCGGCGTGGTGTCGTGCGCCCCTGAGCTGGCGGCGTGCCTGGGAACCAATCTGTCCGATGGGCTGTGCGAAAGCCAGGCAAGCCCCCGCCGCTGCCATGGGTGCTGCTGCGTATTGCTGCGTATTGCTGCTTGCACAGCCGCTTGTGCTGTTCTCCCCCATTCATGCAGGTGCAGCAGCCGCTGGGATGCGCGGTCGCGCGGCAGCCTGCGCCATGCCTGCCTTTGCCCACACTGCTAGCCGCCTCTCTTGCTGCCCGCAGGTGGAGTTAGAGCAGCGCGCCCAGCGGTACGGCTGCAACAGCGTGCGGCCGCCCAGGGAGGTCACCTTTCTGGAGCTGGTTCAAGAGGCGCTGCAGGTCTGGCTGCCCGGCTGCCTTGCTGGCAGCTTTCCTGCGGGTGGATGCTGCTTATCCGGGGCAAAGGGTGCCCATTTGGTCTGGCTGCGGGGTGCTGCACGGTGGCTGCTGACAGCTTGCTGCCGCTAGCTTGTAATTGCTTTGGCTGACTGGAGGGCACCCACTGAAAGCCACGCTGCTGTTTGTGGCGGCGGCGGCGGCGGCGGCGCTTGCAGGACTTTACCATCCTGGTGCTGCTGGGCGCGGGCTGCCTGTCGCTGGGGCTGGAGGTGCTGGTGAACCAGCACAGCGGCGGCGAGAGCAGCTGGATAGAGGGCGCATCCATCCTGGCGGCAGGTGCGGCGCCTGTGTGTGTGTGAGGGGGGGCGCAGGCGGCGCCGAGGCACGACGCGGTCTCTGCAGCTGCCGGGCGTGGCGCCCACGTGTTGTTGTTGTTGTCCTGCCTGCCGCGCCTGAGGCCGCACTAGCTCGCCGCCACAGCAGCCACTCCCCCTGCCCTCGCTGTCGCTGTCTCTCTCACCTGCCTCCCTGCGCCTGCCACCCCGCCCCGGCCCCGCAGTGGCGCTGGTGGTGCTGGTCACTGCGGTGAACAACTACCAGAAGGAGCGCCAGTTCCGCATGCTGCAGGCGGTGTCAGCAGATGTCAAGGTGAGAAGCGGGCCGGGAGGGCGCCGGGGCATGGCTGCAATGGGAAGCGGGAGGCGGGGCTGGATCGCAGAGGGGCGGATGCGGGCGCGCCTTCACGCCGGGGGGCATGGGCTGGGTTTATCGGTGTTGGGTTGGGTGCCCGGCCGCTTGTGCGCGTGCAGCCATCTAGCGAGCATCCGTGTGCTCCACGGCCCCGCGGGCGCCGCAGGTGCGCGCCATCCGTCACGGCCGCGAGCAGGCGCTGCCTGTGGCGGAGGTGGTGGTGGGTGACTTGGTGCTGGTGGAGACTGGAGACATCCTGTGCACCGACGGCGTGCTGGTGGCCGGCTGCGACGTCAAGTGAGCTGCTGTGCTGCTTCTGCTTCTGCCGCCGCGCCGCTGGCGCCGCCGACGGCCTGCCGGCGCCGGCTGGGGCCTGTTGCGGCCGTGGCCGCGCTCCGCTGCGGCAATGCTGCGGCTGCTCTGCTGCTGGGGCCCTGGGCCTGCCCGCGCACCTGCGCTGCCGAAACGCCGTCCCGCCCTGCACCGAACTCCCTGCCCTGCTACTGCCTCCTCTGCTTCTTCTTCTTCTGGCAGGGTGGATGAGTCGCACCTGACGGGCGAGTCTGATGATGTGGCCAAAGACCCGCTGGCCCGCCCCTCCCTGCTGGGCGGCAGCAAGGTGCTCAGCGGCTTTGGGCGCATGCTGGTCACGGCAGTAGGGCCCCACTCCCAGGTGCGCCGCCTTGTTACAACCGGGCCGCGCGGCTGGGCCTGCCAGAGCTGGAGGCTGGGCTTAGGCCAGAAGCTAGGTGGCGGGGCGGGAGCCCAGGCCGGGAGGGCTGCGAGGCTACCTCCCTCTGCTGTGCATGAGCCTGCTGGCTCCGGTGCACCGCGCCTGCCAGCCATTAGCCGCCCAGCCCCTCCCTCCCATACCTGCCGCCGCATCTGCGTACAGTCTGGCGCCATCGCCGAGATGGTGGCTGATGGCAAGGCGGCGGCCGCGGCGGCACCGCCAGGCGCCGGCGACGGCCTGCGCGAGGAGACGCTGCTGCAGCGCAAGCTAGCCGAGTATGCCACCTCCATAGGCCGCTTTGGGTTGGGCGCGGCGGCGGTGGCGTGGGCGGCCATGACGGCGCGGTTCAGGTGCGCAGCTGCCACTGTCTTCCTTCTGCTTTCCTGCTGCTTCCCTGCTTGTGTTGGCGGTTGGGCAGGGATTACTTCACCCCTAGGAGTGCATCTCACCAGGCCTGCCAGGCTCCAGGCAGCACCGTGGCTCGGGCAGCGCATGCTCGGCTGACGCTGCCCCGCTCCCCTACCACCCCCTCGCCGGCCGCAGCGTGGAGACGTTTGTGCTGCAGCAGCAGGCCTGGGACTGGGCCTTCCTGCAAGACTACCTGCGCTTCTTCATCACAGGCGTCACCATCCTGGTGAGCCCTCCCTGCCCATCCACGCACCCCTGTGTCTTTTGGCGCACCGCTGTGTGCTGCCTGCCGGAGTGCGGGGCCGCGCCAAGCGGCCTGCTGTCCGCAGGTTGCCCCGCGCCCGCCCGCTGCGCAGCCGCGCAGCGCCCGCCTGCCTCCCCGTTCTGCGCGCACCCCGTGCCGCGCCCTGCCCCTGCCCCTGCCCCCGCAGGTGGTGGCGGTGCCCGAGGGCCTGCCGCTGGCGGTGACGCTGGCGCTCGCCTTTAGCGTGCGCCGCATGCTGGCTGACCATAACCTGGTGCGCCACCTCAGCGCGGCAGAGACCATGGGCACCGCCACTGTGGTGTGCAGCGACAAGACAGGTGGGGGGAGTGGTGGGGTGGGTGTGGGGCGTGGTGGGGCCATGCGTCGGGCCGTTGGACGGCAGATAACCAGGCGGCACCGTGCTGGGTGCCTGCTGGACCGCCTGCCGCACGCTGCGCCTCTTGAACCGCCCCCTGCGCTCCTGGTGCTGCAGGCACGCTCACCCAGAATGACATGGTTGTGAGCAAGCTGTGGCTGGCGGGGCACCTGCTGCCCGACCTCAAGCCCTACACGCGGCACGAGCGACGCCCCGAGGCCCAGCAGCAGCGCTGGCTGGGCGCCGCCTCCGGCAGCAGCGGCAGCAGCGGCGCCGGTTGCGCCAGCGCCAGCAGCGGCAGCGGCGCCGGAAGCGGCAGCGCTGACCTGCCGCCGCTGGCAGAGCTGCTGCTCAGCCGCGACAGCGTGGCGTCTTTAGGCGGCGCCGGCAGTGGTAGCAGCGGCAGCCTGGGAGGCGAGGAGGCGTCGCCCGTCTCCAGCCGCGCCTCTATCCTGGACAGCATCACTGCAGGCAGCTCCACGCCTACAGACATCGTGCAGCTGCTGGTGGAAAGCGTGGCCCTCAACAGCACCGCCAACATCATCCGGGAGGACGACGGTGGGCGGGGCTGGGCGGGTGGTGGTTGTAGGGGTCCTTGGCTGGCGTGGATGGCTCGGCGGCACGGTGGCTGGCTGCGTTTGGGCTGGCGCAAGCCTCGTTCGACGCCGCGAGCGAAACTGCGCGCCGCCGCGTGCGTGCAGGCACCACCCGCAGCATCGGCAACCGGACTGAGGTGGCGCTGCTGGAGCTCGGGGTGCTTCTGGGCGGGCGGCCGCGCGCGCTGCGCCGCCAGCAGCGCCAGCTGGCGCAGGTGTCGTTCAGCAGCGAGCGCAAGCGCATGACCACCGCCTGCCTGCCGCCGGGCACACGGTGGGTGTGGGTGGAGGGCGGGTTGGGCGCCGCTGTGGGTGGGAGGCGGAGGCTGGCTGGCACAGCTGTGCTTGGAGCTGCTTGCTTGTTGCTCGCCGGTTCATCCCCGGCTGATACCCGGCGCATCCCCCTGCAGCTGTGCCCCTGCCCTTGCGCCCATCCCATGTCGCCTCCCACCCCGCTCCCCTGCCCGCCTCCCCCGCCTCCTTCCCGCCGCGCCGCAGCCCCCACCCCGACGGCTCCGCGCTGTGCCGCATCTACACTAAGGGCGCCTCGGAGATTGTGCTGGAGCGGTGCTCGTATGTGCTGGCGCCTGACGGCACGCGGCGGCGGCTGGGCGATGAGGAGAAGGCGGCGCTGCTGGGCGACTTCACGCAGGGGGGGCAGCGGTGAGCCGACGCCGGGTTTGTGAAGGCGGCGGGGCTGTGGCACCCCGCCGGGGAGCGGCGGCAGGGAGCAGCAGGCAGCATTCCTGGCGTGCCCTGGTACCACCTGTTTCGTGTCGCGGCAGTGATGGGTCGCGGAGGCAGTGTGCTGTTTCCCTGAGGGCAGGAGGGAACAGGAGGCCAGCTGCTGTGTCGCCACGCCTGGCCTGGCTGGAGCGCCTCCCTGCTGCCGCTGCTGCCCACGCCCTCCCGCTCTCTCCCGCTCCCTGCCCTGCAGCGTGCTGTGCCTGGCATACCGCGACATCACCCTGCCGCCAGAGGTGCTGTCCCCGCCCGGCTCCTCGATACGAGTCACCTCCGAGGGCAGCAGCAGCAGCGAGGAGGGCGGCGGCGCGGGGCGCGGCGCCATGGGCGGCGACCCTCACGGCTGGCTGTGGGATACTGCCAGCAGCCTGAATGCCCGCGGCACCAGCAGGTGTGCCAAGCTGGATGGGCTGCAGGGCTGCAGGGCTGGACCCTCTGTGTCTGGGGGGAGCTGCCAGGCTGGCACGATGTGCACGCTCGCTTCTCCTTTTGCTTGTTTTCTTCCTCCCTCCTTGCTTCTCTCCCTTGCTGAGCAAGCATCCCGTTGGGCCGTTCCTCACGACAGCACCGGCCTTGCCGCTCTCTGTCCCACAACCTGCCCCTCCACCCCTGCCACGCAGCGGCAGCGACGACGATGCGGCGCCCTGGGACGGCAAGCTGTGCCTGGCAGACAACCTGGAGAGCAACCTCACGCTGGTGCGCCTGGTTGCCTGCCGCCTGCTGCCGCCGACACCGCCCTGAGCTGCCAGGAAGCAGCATGCACCCATGCGCATGGCCGCCGTCGCCGCGCCAGCCGCACCCTTGCCAGCAGCATTTCATGTCGACCTGGCCTGGTTGCATTGGAGGGGGGCTGCCGCCGCCTGGCGACTGCTGGGAGGTCATCACACGCCGCCCCCAGCCTTGCCCACACCCACACCCGCATCCTTGCCTCGCCTGCGTCCCTAACCCCTCGCCTTCCACCCCACCTCCCGCAGCTGGCGCTGGTGGGAATTGAGGACCCGCTCCGCGAGGAGGTGCCTGCCGCCATCCTGCAGTGCCAGGCCTCGGGCATCACGGTCAAGATGCTGACAGGTGGGCCGCCCCCAGCTCCTCCAGGTCCTGGCAGCCTCTCATCGCGGTTGGCGGCCGGGGTGGTGGTGGTGTTCGTGTATGTGTACCATGTGTATGGGTATGCGTGCATGTGTGCACGGGGTGTTGGGTGTTGCTGGCGGGGTGTGCTGGCTTGGCCTTCATTGCTGCCCACCGCCCCCCTGGACGTCATCGCCGCCCCGGCGCAGGCGACAACGTGGGCACCGCCACTGCGATCGCCCAGGAGTGCGGCATCCTGCCGCCCGCGGGCGCCAGCCTGGAGGACTGGTCGGCGGCGCACGCCGCCGCCAAGGACGCCACCCGCGCCGGCGTGGGCTGGTTCCGCGACGACCCCTCCTCCAGCATTGTGTCGCCCCAGCAGAAGAAGGGCGAGGGCTCCCTAGCCAGCCGCAGCAGCCTGCTGGCCTCTGTGGGCAGCCTGGACGCGCACCGGCCGGCGTGCGGCGAGGCCGGCGGCGAGGCATGCGGCCACGGCGGGCTGCCCGAGGGGGTGGTGATGGAAGGGGCGGAGTTCCGGGAGCGGGTGCTCAACCCAGATGGCAGCATCAACGCAGGCGAGCAGGGCAGGGCCTCGGGGCCTGCGCCCCTCCCCTCCCCACTCCATGCGACGCCCCTGCGCCGCCCCTGCGGCGGCCCCTGTTGCTGCGCTCCCTGTTGCGGCCCGCATCAGTGTCGAGGCCCTCTCTGGCTGAGTCCGGCATGCCTGCGCCGCCGCCTGCACCCCTGCAGATGAGTTTCTGTCCATCTGGCCGCGCCTGCGTGTGCTGGCGCGCTGCACGCCCGCCGACAAGTACACAATCGTGACAGGTGTGGGGACCTGGGTGCTGCTGGCTGCCGCTGCCACGCTTCGCCTGCTGTCGCGCACTGGCCTCACCCACGCCCCACCCAAGCAGCTCCGCTCCGCACCACACACCACCAACCGACGCCGCCACCGCTGCTGACGCCGCCGCCGCTCGCGCTGTCGCCCCCGCAGGCGTGCGCAGCCTGACCAAGGACGTGGTGGCGGTGACTGGGGATGGCACCAACGACGCGCCCGCACTGCGCGCCGCCAACGTCGGCTTTGCCATGAACGTCGGTGAGCGGCGGCGGGGCCCTGGGGTCGCCGGGGGCCTCGGGGAGGGCGGCAGGGATGGCACCAACCCAACCCCAGCCCCACCAGCACCCCACCCAGAGCTCCTCTGCCCGTCCCGCCCGTCCTGCTGTGCGGTACCCCTCGTCCCTGCATCCCTCCCTCTCTTTTCCATCTCCACCACCCTCCACGCCAACCCGGCGGCCGCCCGCTGCGCCGCCCCGCCGCCCGCGCAGGCACCGACACCGCCAAGGAGGCCGCCGACATCGTGCTGCTGGACAACAATTTCGCCTCCATCGTGTCCGCGGTGCTGTGGGGGCGCAACGTGTACGCCAACATCACCCGCTTCCTGCAGGTGGGTGGCGGGGGGTGGGTGGGTGGGTTGGGGGATGGGTGGCGGGGCGGGTATGTGTGGCCGGGGTGTGGCCTGCTGGGACACGGGGCGCGGGTGTGTGCGCCAGTGTGGCAGAGTGGCCTGCGTGGGCCTACATCGGGCTGTGCCAGTGTGGTGTGGGCCTGCCTGCACACCCCCCAGGCCGCAGAGAGAGGGATGCAGCTGCGGGTCATCGGCGGCGAACGCACGAGATCTCCGCTGGCCCACGCTGCGCCCCCGGGCTGACCTGCCGCCCGTGCATGTCTCTCCCCCTGCTTGGCCTGCCCGCCGCCCTGCAGTTCCAGCTCACCATCAACCTGGTCGCCGTGGCCACGGCTGTGACGGGGGCGGTGGTGGCGGCTGAGTCGCCGCTGACCGCGGTGCAGGCAAGGCGGCCCGCTGCCTGCTGGTGGCGGCGCTCTGGTCTGGCCCGCAGGCCGCCGCCGCTCCTGGGCTGCTCGCTGGCAGCCGCACACATCCCCGGCTGCCTGCTGCGCCGCCTCCCCATCTTCCCTTTTCGTCCCTCTCCTCATCCCTGCTTTCTTCCTGCCCTCTGCTCCTCCTTTCTTCCTCCCCCCCGCAGATGCTGTGGGTCAACATGATCATGGACTCTTTGGCCAGCCTGGCACTAGCCACAGAGCCCCCAGACCCCCGCATCCTCTCCATCCCTCCTTTCTCCCAGGGTGCGCCTCTCGCCGCCGCAGCCGCGACCCCAGCCACGCCGCTCCCGCTCCCGCTGCACAGACCTCGCCAGCTGCTGCTGCTGCCTGCCCCGCCGGCCGCTGCCGCTGCGCTGGGTCCCTTCTTCTCCCGCCGCGTCACGCCCTGTGCTGCACCACCGATGATGTACCGCTGCACCGCCGATGGTGTGCCGCCGATGATGTAACGCGCATGTACCGCCTTTCTGCCCCGCAGAGCACGAATTTGTCGACCCCGCCACCCCCACAGTGAAGCACATTGCGGGGCAGGCCGCCTACCAGCTTGCCGTCATGTACGGCCTCATCTTCTACGCCCCTGCCCTGCTGGGCATTCCCGGTGAGCCAAGATGGCTGGGTGGGCGTGGCGGCGGGCAGGTGGCGGGGTGGCAGGAGGGGAAGGTTGGCGGATGCACACACGTCCGGGCGGCGGCGGGCATGCCGGCTCCAGCCCGCGGCTCCTCCCCACTGCGAGCGCTCGGCCGACTGGCAGGCCTGGCCGTGCTGCTGCCGACCCCGCCCACCTCGACCCCGCCTCACTCCCAGGCTCCTGCCCTGGCCCGCGCTCCTTGCCTGCCCGCCCCTGCAGACCACGCCGCCGTCGTAGGTCCCTCAGAGCACTACACCCTCGTGTTCAACACCTTTGTATTCATGCAGGCGCGCAAGGTTTAGGGGTTGATGGTTTGGGGCTTGCGGGTGTGTGTTGCTCAGAGCCAGCCCGCCCGACGTTGTTCCCGCCTTGCCTCCACCCCACGCGCCCGCCCGCCGGCATCCCGTCATGTAACCTGCCGCCGGTGCTGCTGCCACCGCCGCCGCCACCTGCTGGCGCGTGCCGCCCATCCACACCCCTCACCCGCCCGAGCGCCACCCCACGCCGCCGCCGCCGCCCTGCAGCTCTTCAACCAGATGAATGCGCGCAAGATTCTGGACAGCTCGCAGGCCTGGGAGGGGCTGGGCAGCGCGCGCTGGTTTCAGTGGATCCTGGGCTCCGAGCTGCTGCTGCAGATCCTCATCGTCCAGGTGGGCAGGGCAGGCTGCGGGGCAGGCCTCGGGCTTGCATGGGGTCACGGCGGGGATCGGGGTCCACCGTTGACGTGCGCCGCCGCTGGCGCTGCTACTGCTGCTCCCGTTCCGACCAGCTCGTTGCCGGCCCAGCCTGAGCCGGTTATTCAGGGGTTTAGGGTTTCCTGGCGCTCCACCCACCACGCCCACCTCCCTGCCGGCCTATCCTGCTGCAGTTTGGCGGCCAGTGGTTCAACACCCACCCGCTGGATGCCCGGGAGTGGGGGGTGTGCGTGGGGCTCGGGGCCACCACGCTGCTGCTCCGCGAGATCCTGCGCCGCCTGCCCTACGGAAGGTGAGCCTGCCCGCGGCCGCCAGCTGTGTGGGCGCTGGCGTTGGTGCCGCTGTGACTTGGTGCTGCCCGGCCCGCTGCGTGCCTGGTGCTCTCTTTGCCGCCATTGATGCCGTGCCGCACTGCCGGTGGCTGATAGTGTCATGGGTGTGGTGGGCGGGAACGTCGCATGCTTGTGCAGACGGTCAGAGTATGGCACTTAGCTCGCCGCCCTGGCTGGCATGCCGCTGCCGTGGATGTCGCCAGCCAGCTGCCCAGGCCCACCTAAGCTGCGCCCACCTAGCCCACCAAATGTTTTTGTCGCACGACAATGCTGCAATTTCTCCACGAGCTCACTGTCTCTTTCGCCCATCTTCCCTCCCGACACCCCCGTGCCGTGCCGCCTTCTGCTATACAGGTGGTGGTTTGCCCTCAAATGATTATCTGCATGGGTTGCTTTGGGCACAGCGTATGCCCCTGCTCAACAGCGTCTGGATCGGCAGCCCCAATTGCAATGCGTGGAGGCCACCAACGCCGAGCCTGTGTCTTTGAATTGCATGTTTCTGTACTGCTCGTTTTTGGTTTTGCTGCACATCCCAGTTGTTTGGCCAGTTTTGCCCTCTTGCTCCTTGGCGCCTCCAGCCACCTACTATGCCCGTATTTTACCACCAGCGCAGGCTAGGCTGTTTTCCCGCCCTGCATTCGCCTCGCTCACGCTATGAAATGAACGCCTCTCCTGCCACGTGCAATGCTTCTCCAACCAGCCATCTCCTCTCATTCGATGCATCAAAACTCAACCCTTCTCAGTAAACACCTTGCGTCACATGTACAGCCGAAACGGTCCACCAGCAGAGCTGGCACTGTGCCTGCTCGGCAGCGAGCAGGCACTGCAACTGGAAACAACAACTAGCCGGAAGCTGGGGTAAGGGAGTTCTGGAGGCAAACAGCGGGGCTGCCGGCCGTGGGCATCTCCTTCAGATCTCCCACCGGACCTCGTCCCAAGCCAGCTGGCGGTAGGCCTCCTTGTCCCGTCCCACGCTCAGTATGCGCTCAAACAGCGGTCGCAGGCTGCGCCAGCGCAGCACAGTGTGACGGTCCCGCTGGATGTAGTGAAAGTCTGCAGGCAGCGAGCAGGTGGTGCATCCAGCACGGCGGCTCAGACAGCAGCAGGAACTGTGTGATGTGGTGCAGTGCGAGCACGTCACAGCGTCGAGCACAAGGCCAGGGGCAGCGCGCAGCAAGGCGCGGCTGCGGCTAGCCAACCGGGCCTGCCGGATGCCTGCCCACCTGTCACACGCTTGGTCTCCCACAGCGCGGGGCGCCAGCTGGCGTTGCCCACCACCTGGGCCATCCAGTAGAGCTGCTCATCCTCCTGACGGAACATGCTGCGGGCAAAGGTGTCCGGCCACCTCCCTACACAGCGCAGCGCAGCGCGGCGCGGCGATGAGGTAATGCTGGCCTGGGACGCCGCGCGGCAGGCGTGCCCGCACCTGCAGCCTGTGGATCACGGCATTGGCGGCGCGGATGTGCAGCGAACCGAGCAGCAGTGAAGCAGACGAGCAAGCCAGGCAGCAGCAGGTGGGGCGCACCCCGGAAGCCCTTCATGCGCACTTCCACCAGAGAGGACCCCGCCGGCATGAACCACCTGCACGTACAGCCAGGTTGCAGCGCACTAGTGCAGACCCAGCACCGGCCACAACGGCTGCTGTTTCCCAAGACACCGGCAAGGCTAGCCGTTGCTGTCCACAGCGGCCACGAGGCCTGCAGCCCGACTCACCCATTCACACACTCGCTGCCGTGGTGGGTCAGGAAGATGTCGGTTTCAGTCATCACCCTCACATCCTCCAGAAACGCTGCGCCGTCGGCTCCAGACCCAAAGGTGTGGGCTCTGCGCAGCCAGTCACATGATTTCTATGTCAGGAGGAGAGGGTAGAAATCGGGCCAGCCAGCCACTACCACTGGGCAGTGCTGGCAGTGGCAAGGAGGGCTGGTTTCCCCACCCGAGCCCCGCCCCTGCAGCAGGCAATGGGCTCCTGCCCCCAGTCCCAGCCCCACGCATACCTGCAGCGGGCTCGCTTGTAGCCCGACTTGCCGGGCGGCTTCCAGGCGTTGCACTGCTTCAGAAACTCGTCCAGGTGGATGAAGCGGCGTATGAGGCCCGTCCGGTTGGATACCAGCACCTGGAAAGGAAGCCGGGCAACTGTGGTTTCAGTATGAGGCCAGATGGGCCAGCTGAGCCCCCGCGCCACCTCCCAGCCAAAGCCAGCGGCGCTCTGTTGTTGGAATTTGCAAGCGTGCCGGACAGCGCAGGCAGCTGCGGGGGGCCACCCAGCGCCGCCCGCCGGCTCACATTCAGCGTGCCAGGTGGCCTGTCGGGCTGCGCGGGCAGCTGGCCTGCTCGGCGGTAGTAGTCCACAAGGCTGCGCCCCGCCTGGGCAGGCTCAAACCACCACCAGCGCTCGTCACGGTCGAACGTGAAGTAGGTGCTGCCGTTGTCGGCGGTCTGGAGGAGGGGGCAGGTGTTATGTGTGTGTGTGTGCGTTTGGCGGTGCCTGGCGAAGCGCCAGAGCAGGCCTGCCTTGCTGCCTGCTGGCCTGCCGCTGCACTCAAGTACCGCTGCAGCCAGCACGGCCGCCGGCACTGCAACTAGTAGCAGGGCTGCACCGCGGCAGGGGAGGCTTGCTGCGCGGCTGGCTGAGGAGCGGCTCACCTCTTGGAATTTGGGCGATGGTCTGTCGTAGTACAGCCCCCTCAGCTGGCACGTGACCATCGTCTGGAAGCAGCGCGGGTGGGAGGGGTCTGCAGCCCTGGCCCGAGACCCCAGCTCGTGCAGCGGCACAACCTGCGGCGGCAGAGCCAGCAGGGGGCCACGTGGTGGGCCAGATGCACAGGCGGCGGATGCGGGAGGCCCCTCTGTTTATCAGCTCAACACACCGCACCACGGCACCTGGCCCTGGCCCTGCACCGCGCCAGCGCCGGGCGGCCCGCGCTGCCCCTCCCTCCCCGCCCCTCCACCCCGCTGCGCCCTCGCACTGGCTTGGTGGAGAAGGGCGCCAGGGTGAGGTCCACAAAGGCCTGCTTCTCGTACCCGTCAATGGCGGGCACCAGCAGGATGCGCCGGTCGAACATGCGCTCCGCCTGCGCCCGGCCCAAGCGCAGAGTCAACGTGCCGGAAATGCATGTGAAATGCTTTGTCAGCTGCGCCCCCAGGAGCCACCACCCAAGAGCGGGCGCAGAGCAGGCCGGGGAGGGGGCAGCAGAGCTGGGAGGCGGCCGCCGGCTGGCAGCCAGATGTACAGTGGTGCACGTGGCGCCACACACCTGCATGTGCCAGAGCGGCGCCAGGGTGTTGGGCACCCACTCGCCTGCATGGAGCACACAGCCGCACCCGGTTCGTTCTTCCTTCCTTTCGCAGGGCAGCCCCCTCGCGCTCATACATACATACATGTGTGGTTATGTAAGCCCCCGCGGCAACGGAAGGCAACGGGGCACCAGCCCCAGCTCGGCGCCAGCAGGCGCACCGTAGGCCTGGTGCCAGGGCGAGGCCCAGATGAGCGGCACGTGGCAGCGGGAGAAGGCCGGCTCCCGCAGGTCGGGGCGGTCGGCCGAGGAGTTGCGCCGCATCAGCGGCAGCGCCTGGAGGCCGCCGGGGGCGCCGCTCTGCACGGGGGGGCAGCACATGGCGGCGGCGGCTGGCACAGCAGGCCAAGCACAGCACACAAGCGCAGCGCACAAGCGGCACAAAGCACGCACGTTGACTGCTGGGAAGCTCTCCCCGTAGCCCGGGACGTACGACGGCGTCCACCCAAAGTCGTAATCTGCAGCAGGAAGGGTGAGCAGGCAGGCAGGTGGGCAAACAAGCAGGCCTGTAGGTAGCCTGGAGGGCAGACCTGTGGCGGCATCAGCGCCAGCACCGCACCGCACTCACAGGGCACAGACAGGTTGGCGTCTGGGGGCAGGTCGTAACGGATGATCACGTTCTGCACAGGCGTGTTGTGTACCGCACAAAATTCAGGCTGCTGACATCACATCATCGGAAGGTTTTTGGGGGGGGGCAAACAAGCAGCAAACCACCGCAGGCATCCCTCTTCCCCGTTACATGTTGAATTTGAATGGACAGCACGAGGCGGCAGCCAGCCAGCACGCGGGCAGCCAGGCAGGCGGGCGGACAGGCTTGCACCTGGTCGAAGCAGGCGAGCTCGTCGATCTGGCAGCCATACTCCAGCAGTGCTCCTCGGTCCAGCTGCGGCGGCTCGCAGTCTGGGGGGTCACCCTCATACGGCTGCGGCTGCAGGCTGCCTGAGCCACTGCTGCTGCTGCTGCTAGTGGCGGCCAAGGTGGTGGCGGCGGCACGAGTGGCTGTGGCTGTGGCTCCGGCGCCGCCGCAGCTGCCGAGGCTGGTGCTGCTGAGTCGGAAGGAGGCCGCCAGCAAGGCGAGCGCCAGCGCCAGCAGCACAGCGACCCGGACATTCAGTGGGCGGCGGCGTGCAGGGGCCCTGCTGCCGGCGTCTGCGCTCATGTCTCGGGCTGGCGGCGCTTCATCAGCAGGCTGCAGCCACCGCCTGGTGCCGCCGCCTGCTGCCGCCGCCTGCCACGCAGTACAGGGCGCCCATGCCGGCGCTGCACATGCTTGAGTGCGCTTGCAGGCGCGGCCCGGGTGTTTTGAAGAGCCCCGATAGCAAGGCCAGAAGCTCTGAAAGCTTTGAGAGGAGTGGTGGAGTTGACGAAAAACAGGGGTGAAACTCCAGTGGATTTGCCCTCAGTGCATGCACTAGCCTTTGATTCGGGGGCCCAGGTTCTGCCCGAAGTACCTGGCGCAGTACAACCGCCCCACACAAGTTGGTCTTATTGATCCTCGCCATGCCATGCATCATTGCAGATGGGCAACAACTCCAGGCTCATTCCCTGGAGTTGGATTGATCAGATAAGGTAGATTAAGCGGCGATCGGCCGGAGAGGTGCAGTTGGAGCAACCCGTTGGTGCACAATCGGCAGATTGCGGTGTTGCGTTGGAGAGGCAGGGTGTGCTCCACGGTTTTCGTTGTTGGCGCTGCGCACTCCATCTCCCTCCATGCTGATGCTTACAATTCGCCGGCGTGGCACTGGGCCCGCCACCCGCCTCTGCCGCCTGTTGCATGCCTGTGGCCGCACAAGCGGCACATGCTCATCCCAACCGCTGTTTTCACCTTGACAGGGCCACCTGAAGCACAGCGACTGGTCATTCGGACCACAGGGAGGCTGCAATGCTCAATGAGACCCTGCATGCTGGACATCACCCTTGACATAAGCTCGCCCGTGCCAGACATGCGCCACATGCCGCCACGTCGGTGTGTCCGCTGTATAGCCCCCGCCGGCCTGGTACCCCGCATGATCGCACCCATGGGTTCTGAAAGCCCAGCATCCGGGCCCGATCGCGCTGGTTCATAGCCTCCACTACATGTTTCGATGCAGGGCCTGCTCAGCATTCGCAGCAGGGAACGCGGGGAAGATGGCAGATGAACAGCGCCTCATCAGCCCCCATTCCCATTCCCCAGTCCCTCTGCACCCGCTGCTGTTTGCTCCAGGGCTAAGTTACCGCCAGTCAACGCCCCTCCCAGCCCTCCCCAGCAACCAGCCAGCACCCACCACCATGCGGTTCTGCAGCCTCCTCCTCCTGGCCCTGGCGGTGGGCACTGTTGCAGGCAAGCCTTGATTGCAAGGGATGGGTGGGAATGCGGTGCAAATGGGTGGGAGGAGGGCCGCTGGGCCGGTCCGACTGAACCACCTGCATGCTGATACCCCCCGCCATCACCCGGGGCGGCCCAGAAGAGGCCGGGTACCCCTCATTTTTGCACTTCCTGCATCAAGCACAGCCGACCCTGGCTGCGGCGCGGCGCGGCGCCGGTTCCGCCCAACCACATATGCCGCCGCCATGCCGCCGTGCTTCCCCCCGCCGCGCGCCGATACCTCTGGCATGTCCCTTGCGCGCCCGCGCCGCCCCCTCTCACGCGTTTTCCCGCCCCTCCCGCGCGCCTGCCCGCCTGCAGCGGTCGATACCCTTGGCGGCAGCCACCAGTGGGACAGCATCGTCGACCTGGCCGACTCCAAGAACGACACCACCATCGTCTGGTCCCTCATCCAGGCCGCCGGCCTGGAGAGCGCCCTGGATGGTGAGTGCGGCAGCAAGGAGCGAGGCAGAGGGGTCGCAGGAAGGAGTGGCGGGGGCCAAGGGGCGGCGGGCTTGCCGCGTGCCCGCGTACCGGCCAGATGCGCCCACCACCTCCCAGCATGTGCCCGCCACACCCCAGCCCTGCTCGCGCACCCCTGGCCCCTGGCCTGACGGCCCCCCTGCCCCTCCTGCCCCTCCCCTGCCCCCCGCAGAGTCCAACTTCACCGCCACCGTCTTCCTGCCCACCGACGAGTACCTCTCGGCAGCCGCCGACAGCATCGACACCGACGATGTGGTGAGCTGCGGCTTTAAACTCCCCCTCGCCGACACACGGCCACGC